GTGGTGGTCTACACCCAGTTTCAGGACGTAACCTTGCCGCTACAGGCTTTTGAAGATTGCCTTCGTGATGGCCGCCATTGGACAAGTTGAAGTCATTGATTCGTTTGAGGGACTAGGCAAGTCCCCAATCTAAAGATGGATGGCTAAACATGACTCTGTAACTTGGATCGTGATGCGAACGAAGTTAGTTTGGCTGCCCTGTGTTGTTGTGAGAAGCATTGACCCCTCGTTCTCGTACCTTGTTTCAGTGCGTATTTTAGTCGATTATTGGGTTTCGCCCAATATCCAAGGAGCGGAGGACCTGCAGATCAAACCATCACAGTTGGCAAACAAGGTCCACCTCCGGCTAATAAGAGTCATGCTGGCCATGTCCGGTGATTTCAAACCACGTTCAGAGAGTTCGAGTGAGACAGGAACTTGGTGATGCCCCTCCATGCACACGAGGCGTCCATCATGGCTCTGTCCTTCGGCCGGTGCTCTTTTGTATATACATCCGCGATGTCCACTTTCCCATAATTTCGTTTCATCTGTGTCTCATTTGCAAGTTTTCCCATGCCTGGGTTACTTGGACCTCATTCGCTTCCTTGACATTGGACATGTTCAGTCCGTTTGGTTTGAGAATTCAAATAAACACAACCAACCAACCATGCACCACAATGCTTCAGGCATTAACCTTTATCATCCCAACCCATCAATAAATTTCCCTATCATTACGAAACTTTCCACACAAGTGTATTTTGGTTGTTTAACCTACGTGTGAACATATTTTTGAAATCGGACCAAAGGATAGCTGAGTTAGAGTTATGTTCCCATATGGGAACAACGGGATCCCGGGCGTGTAAAAATACACAATTTGGACGATACTATTACGAACAAACTCTTTGCAGATGATATAACCTTTCATATCCGTAGCCATTCCTGTCAAAAAGTAACTTCTCGACTGAGTGAGGACCTGGCTGCAGAAAGGAAAGGACTTTTATTGAATCCATCTGAGACCCAGGTTTAATACTTCGCCGCCCTGGTAAAGAGCGGCCACCTGGTACAGCAGTTCTCTGTCGTGACACCCCCATTGACCCTCTGCTTCCGTCCGCTATTCAGGAAAATTCGTTGATGGCCATCTATCCTTTTCTGACCAAGTAGCAACGGTGTGTGCGTCTGTTAACAAAAAAGTAGGAGCCCTTGTGCTTGCAAAGCAGAATATCAGTATCTTTGGCAAGCGACTGTTCTACCTCCGTATAATTCAGTCTACTGTTGAGTATGGCAGCATCGCATATGTACACTGTTGACACAAGCTCTTTATAACAAACTTCTTGCTGCCAACCGCTTAGCGCTAAAGAGAATTTTGTTTCCTTGGATAGAATGACCCCAACTACATTAACACAAATGTATACACCCTTGAACAGCGACTCAATTTCAAGACTTATGTATTTGTGTATCACTGCCTTAATGGCCTTGCTTGCTCTCTCCTACAAGACCGCTTTACTCTTCGTGCCCATGGTTCTCATACTACCGGTGCCTTTACCCGTGGTCAGGTGTCTGCCGCGCTGCTCGCACACGCTATGATTTCAGTGCAATTTCTTACGTAGGCGCTGACTGGTGGAATGCACTGCCACCTGCTTACCGCCTTACTAATTCACCTGCTGAATTTCGATCATCCATCAAGACTTTCTTAGGGTTCCCGGTTGGGAATTCCCTAGTAAAATAGGAAAAAAGCAAAAGAAAGAAAAAAACATGTTTGGTCCGTACAGACGTTGACTGTTATATTCCAGGAAGGATTTCTACTCAATTTGCGGACAGAACTGTTTTGTCCTTTGTGGACTCATCAGTGCAGCACAGAGGAAATGAGGCCGAACCTGATAGCAATGAAAATTTAATTTTCCAAACCCAGATTTAAAGCAGGCCCAAACGTAACTTGCCATAGTGCTCAAACTGACAAGTTACATGTAGTGACCACTGCATAACGCAAACAGCAAAAGCCCTACCCCACACAAGAGTCCTCACCTCTTCCAGTGTGGATTTCTATAAAAAATATTTCAACATAACAATGTCTGGTAATTCAAACCTCACTTGAAATGGGCATATTTCCTTGGGGTTGGATAATTGGAATGCCCAATTATTTAGAGGTTTTTCCTGGCATATTAAGGTTTGATTTATATAGACTATACCTATTGGTTCGGTTGTCCCTACTCTGTCTCCTCAGCGTTCATTTTCTCATCTTGTCCGCAAAATCAGATTTAGCATCCTTGTGTACGTATACAAAATATGTTCAGGTAATTTATAACACTGCTGTGTTGTATTTTTGAGTTTCTAGCAGGAGCCGTAACGTTTTCTGTTCTGTTCTGGTTGTGCATCTGGTCATTTCCTTTGGATATTCGCAGCTCTTATCGGTGGCCGTGATTTATATGGTGCTAGCTTGGAGTGAACCTTCCAATGCCTGTGGAGACGCAATGTGTACATGTAGCAACGGAGTTCTCTTGTCGTGCCCAAACGTTGCATGGCTGTGAGTTCTACGTTGTCTGTCGTTTGAAAGCTTCAACGTACAAATTTCAAATCAGCAATAGGAAATATTCAGCACTTGTGCCCATATTAGTCTTAAAATTGAACACTATTCAATGATGGGGTTAATCATTTGATCCTTTTGAATGAATGAATGAATGTATGTATGTATGTATGTATGTACTCAATCTGCGGACAGACCTGTTTCGTCCTTTGTGGACTCGTCAGCGCAGCACAGAGGAAATGAGGCCGAACCAGATTTAGCAATGGAAATAAAAAATTCCAATCAGGCCCGAACGTACCTTGCCAGAGTGCTCAAACTGACAAGTCAGTGAGCTCTGCATATGTATGCATGTATGTATATTTGTTTGAGTTCGCAAGTAGACACAGGCTAGAAGCCCAATTACATTGAAGCGAATGAAACAAGTTTTGATGCAGATAAACTAAACTCGCGTTCACGTCAAACATGAGTGGACCTCAGCTCACGTCATGAACGGGAGTTTCGACGCCAAAATTTGCCACGCCGACGTGAAATTTCACGGTGTAGTGCAGAACAACATGAACCGAAACCTCTCCAATGTCTCCGTAATCGTTGCTGTATATTCTGGCCAAAGTATACTCTGAACAGTCGGAACAAAGGAAACAAAAGCATATTCCCTATGTGGTGCAAGGAAACAGGCTTGAAATTGTGTTGAATGCTTGGAGAAATTCGGGCAGTTTTGCCATATTGGCAATTGGCAAAACCACAAAAACCAAAACCACAAAAAAACCACAGGGTCACACATAGAAACAGGGCAAACTCCTACTTTAGCGGGAAAAAAAAATGAGAGTAAGGGTTGGTTCACATATCTCCGGTACACGCCGGGAGTCACCGGCGGTGGGCATCTTGCAACCTCTCACTGCGCGTTGCGATTATGTGAAGCAGTGCAGTTGTAGGAAAATCATACTGTGCCCAGCTCTTGCGATCTGCCCCGGCGCCGATCCCGAAGAATTTTGACCAAAAGTGGCTTGTGCACCGTTCGAGGTGGTGATCGCCGGTGCCGGGAGCCAGACATTGTGAAAATTGCAAACCAAAACTCATCCTAAATTGAAGCTAAAGATGAGGTCCGTTCGCATTTCTTGCAGTCGTTTCAAGGTGGCAAATTAAGTCAGCATACCAACCCTTCCTTCTCGGATGATCTGCTTGACTGTTGTGCGACTTATGAGACAAATACAATTGAAATTAATAGAAAATACGAAGGATACATTGACAAGTTTGTGTGACTTTTTCACCGTTTGCACGCATAATTTCACCACCACCGCTTACTAGGCTGCAATAAAAGGTGTAAAAGTAGTTTCATGATGTCCAGTAAAGGGCAGCTCCGAGTGGCAATCACCGAAAGACCTTGACCTACTGAAAAAACATTCTGTACTGCTTTTTAGTAGATTTGGTACTCGAACCGTATGCGCAACGGATTGGGGGCTGGCTCACCGCAGATGTCTTGCGATGTCTTGCGGCGCTGATTTTTCTTATGTGAACCAACCCTAACAAAATCATATGGAAAATAATCGCAAGGGACCGGCGGCAAAGTTGGACATTGCCCAACTCTTGCGATTTGCCCCCACATAGATCCCGTAGAATTTTGACCAAAAGTGGTTTGTGAACCGTTCGTGCGGGTGATCGCCGGTGCCTGGAGCCAGACTTTGTCAAAATTCCAAACCAATATTTGTCCTAAACTTTCTAAAATTGAAGCTAGAGAGGAGGTCCATTCGCCATTCTTGTAGTCGCTTCAAGGTGGCAAATAAGTCAGCATACCAACCCGTCCTTCTCGGATGATCTGCTTGACTGTTGTGAGACTTATGAGACAACTACAATTGAAACAAATAAAAATACGATGGATACATTGCAATTGGCAAGTTCTTGTGACTTCATCAACGCTTGGGAGCATAATTTCGACACTATTGCTTGCTGCTTGTAGACTGCAATAAAATATGTAGAAGTAGTTTGATGATCTCCAGTGAAGGTGGCAACGAGTGGCCATCACCGAAAGACCTTGAACTACTGAAGAAACAAAGAATTCAATTGGCAAACCTGTCGTAGCTCATGGGCACGTTCTGTACTGCTTTGTAGTAGGTTTGGTACTCGAACCACATGCGCAACAGATCAGGAGATGGCTCACTACCGATGACTTGCGATGTCTTGCAGCGCCGATTCTGCTTATGGACTGTGGTGCATATGGCACGAAGAATGAACGCAGTCAATGACTACATTTGTATGGCTTTGTTTACATCAGAGTTTTCAACCCGGGCGCGTCAGGCGAAATAGCACGTCATCGTACATTTGAGATCAGCGGGAAGAAGATGACGACGTCCACTAATTTAGTATCTGTGCACACGAATCTGCTGTGTGTGTGTGACTCTGTGTGTCAGCTATGGCATCATCTTCTGTGGTTCTATGCCTAGCATGTAGGTCTGAACCATCCTGCAAAGTTTGAATGACGTAGGGTGAGCGATCGCTCCGCGAAATTTACTTTTCGAAATTCTCTTCATAGTATATCTTCAACCATTGAAATTTCGAATTTCGTCGTATTTTTGGCTGAGAGGGGTGGCTTGCAACCTCGATATGGCTTGTTCCAGGCATGCTTTGGAGCCATCTTCTGTTGAAATAGTGGCGGGAACCTGCCCTGCAACTGTTCCAACAGGAAATTAATCGATCCGAGAAAGCGCGAGTCCGTGAAATCCGGTTGAAAATGGAGTATTTCAAGCCTTTCCAGACGAAGATGGAGTTCTTTTTGGAGATGGATGCCGCTGAGATGGCAACAGATCTCTGCCCCCTGGCTTTGCCAGGACTGATTTGTTCCATCGTTTTCTTTTGTGCCTTTCGTGATGCTGGCAGCGGCATGACACTTGGGAAGCCTGTGGGAAACGTCCACATCCCCCACAGGCTTCTCATTCACTGGCACACGTGCCATGAAGATACCACACCACGGTCGGAGTACATAGCTGCTCTCAACAAGACACTGAACTGTAAGTCAGAATGTATTTCTATTCATCTTGTCTCTGAACAGGGCAAATGAAATTTATTCATTCTACATGTATTTCATTTTCATGTCATTATAATGCAACAGGTGGCCACATACTGGATAAAAAGAATATAGCTTTGCAAGACAGACTATTCAAGAATATTTCGAGGGTAAGATTAATTGCATTTATCTTCAGGCCAGATGTGAACCCACAGACACGCACTACATGGACACACACACACACACACACACATACACACCACACACACACACACACACACACACACACACACACACACACACACACACACACACACACACACACACACACACAAACCATATACTAGCCCGTCACAAGAGAAGCACGCAAATCTGCAAATGCACTGGATGTGCAGACTTGCGCGTGCAAATACGAGCACACACACCATATACACGCCTGTCACAAGAAAAGCACGCAAATCTGGAAATGCACTGGATGTGCACACACAGACGCGCGCCTACACACACACACACACACACCATGTACACGCCCGTCACAAGAGAAGCACGCAAATCTGCAAATGCACTGGATGTGCAGACGCGCACGCACACACATCACACACACACACGAGGGCATGCACACATATAGCAGTACACCGGTGCCGTGATTCAAATTGAACAATAACATACTTAGAGAAGCGGGCCACAGTGAATGAAACAATAATGGTGATTTGCATGCCATCTATTCATAAGGCTCTTTTGTCCGTATGTGCATGCGGGCATGTGTACATGTACAGGTGTTTGCAAAGTATTGCAAGAGTACCGGTGGAGATAAGAGAAAACGAATATATAATGGAGAATGCAACATGGTTATCTGTGCGGAAGAGATCATTTCGACGAGGGATAAGATGGAATCTCTTACCATGCAACTGGACACAGCAAAGAAACTAAATGAAGCGAAAGAGCAGGAGCTAAAAATATTATATGCACAGATAATTGAGGAGAGGAAACACGCCGAACAAAAAACACAATTAACAGAAAAGGCGAAAGAATTCACGGAATTCGCCAACACGGGAAAGCCAGTGCATGAACTGAGAATAAGGCAGCAACAGAGAAAAAAGAAAGAAATACAGAATATAGCTCCAAAAGCACTATGGTTCTTGGAATCGTTCGGCTTCCGCCTAACATCAATGGATGTTACTTGCACAGCAACTGCTGAGAATGTGTCGGTGACCTTCGACAAGGAGAACATTGATGCAGAACCAAACGCAGCAAACACAGCAGCAACATTTGAAGACCGTTATGAAAAACTCAGTGAACAGTCCAAAACCGATATCAAAAAGGTTCTCTTCCTTTTAGATAAATTTTCAGGCAGTGATGAACTGTATCACGAATTTACACAGTTGTACAACAATATGCCACGGTCATACATGGTTGCCCATTATCGACGAAGAATGAATGCCTCATATGATATCCTGAGCCTGCCTGAACCATTTGAGGGAACAAGAATGGAGTTAGCCCCATTATAGGCTGATGACATATGTCGTCTGTTTGCGACTGCCAACATTGAGGAGCCAAGCAATGAAACCGTGACAGTGAAGATCAGTGGTGATGGAGCACAGTTTTCCATCACATCAAGCTTTGTATTGATGACGTACTGCATTCTCTTCGGTGCTACAAATACTCAAGCAAGTAGCAGCCATATGAGTTTCGCTGCCCTCAAAGGCTCGGAGACGTACGAGACACTGAGGGACGGGTTCAAGGATGCGTGGACGGAAATCAATGCCCTTATCAAGGTAAGCAATATAACCTACTTGCAGCATCTATGTTGTTGCTTTTATTTGTCACTAGATTAACAGGCAGGAGAATGTCATTCTTAGTATTGCAGGTTGGGCGTAACTGGGCTCCATATTTTTAAGATTGTACCTCATGCTACTGTATAACTGTATTTTTTTTTTTTTTACTAAGGCCACAGCTTCCAATCATGACAAAAAAGGGTTATAAAAAAAGCAGTATTACTGTA